AAAAAAAAAAAAAAAAAAAAAAAAAAAAAAAAAAAAAAAAGAACTAACTGGTGGTACACATTTTTTTTTTTTTTAATTGTTTTTCAAGACCGGGTTTCTCTATGTAGATCATGCTAGCCTTGAATTCAGAGATTCACCTACTTCTGCCTAGGACTAAAGGCATGCACTCCTGGCCCCTTAATCCCAGCACTCAGGAAGTAGAGGCAAACAGATCTCTCAATTTGCAGCCAGTCTAGTCTATAGAGTAAGAGCCAGAGCGGCTCCCTTTGCAGAGAAACCCTGCCTTGAAAAAACAAAGAATTATTTTTATGTGTTAGGCGTGCATGTATGTGTCCCATATGCATGTTTATGTGTTAGGCATGCATGTATGTGTGCCATATGTATGCTTATGCCACAGAACTCACAAGAGGGTCTCAGATTCTCTGGAACTGCAATTATGGTTGTGAGCCACCAGCATGTGCCACGGCCCTCCTGGCAGCATATCCAGTATCCTACCCTGAACTCTCCAGTCCAGGGGGCTAGGCTGTTCTTCCCTGCATAACCCAGCCATTTAGGTTGCCTGCTCTCTTTGTCTTTGTCTTTGTCTCTTTGGGTCTCCTGGCTGCTGTATTTGATTTGCATCTCTCCCCTCCCCTTCTACTCCCCCTCTGCCATATAGCCCAGCTCAGCCTGGTCATGTCCACTCTGGACTCTCCCAGGTGTCCCTGCCTCTGGCTGTGCTCTCCCACATATAGACAATAAACTTTCTTTTCCACCATACCAAGGATCAGCCATGTCCTTTCCTTTGTCCATTCATTCATTCATTCATTCATTCATTTTCATTCAGTATCCATATTCTCCTACAAATTTGTTTGTTTGTTTTTGTTCAATATCCATATTCTCCTACAAAAAGGCTCTCAGTCCTGGCCAAACTGAGGACAATTTCCGAGCTGGGTGGCGATGGTGGTATATGCCACTCAGCACTCAGGTGAAGGCAGAGGCAGGCGAATCTCAGTAAGTTCAAGGCCAGCTGGGACTACAGAGTGAGTTCTAGGACAACAAATAGCAATCTCAGCTGCAGATATACCCCTCCTTGAGTGTTGAAGGCCGTGGAAATATACATCATATGGCGGTTGATAATTTAGATATCCACCCACCAGAGAGTGACTGGT